GGATCACGAGACACACCTGGGAGCAATGACACATCATGGGGAACACCTGGGACAAATGACCTAAACTAATCAGGGGAGGAACAGGAAACTAATCAAATAAGGGCATGGGAAGGCACATGGGGAGCAGGACACACACAACACATGGAACAGAGTCTGACACTTACTAACTATTAATAAGTAGCAGTGAATATGTGTTCCCTATTCTAATGTGTTACCAACGATGTATAAGTCTTTACTGTCACTTTTGATCAATTTAATGTGTCCTTGCTGAATAAAAGTATTAATTTCTTTAAGAAAAAGCTAAATCTATACTGAAAGAAATGCCGAGAAATGTTCTATTTATTTATTACAATTTTATTGTTTCTTCTTATAAGACAGTGTAACAGGAAATTAGAGGAGAGAGATGGAAAAAGAAGATTAGGACATGACACAGACTGGGTTCAAAATCTAGTTACTATGTAAGTACACGTATTAGGGCCACTTAATATAAAGTGGGACCATACAGTAACAGTAATATTGTGGAATATTATTACAATTTAAAAACAACTGTTATATGTTTGAATATATTTAATTTATTCCTGCTAAATTTTCAGCAGCCATTACTCCAGTCTTCAGTGTCACATGATACCTTAGAAATCATTGTTATATGCTGATTTTGTGCTCAAGAAAAATGTCTTAATATTCCTATGTTGAAAACAGTTGCTGCCTACTGTTTTTGTGGAAACAGTAATTCTTTTTTAAGAATTCTTTAGTAGATAGAACGTTTAAAAGAACAGCATTTATTTTAAATAGAATGGTTTATAACAATGTGGTAACAATTTATTTTAAGGGCCTATTTTTGCTATTAACTAGTTGCTTATTAGCAGGCATATTGGTTGTTTATTGATATTTATAAACCACATATTAATGCCTTATTCTGCATGACCATATTTTAGATCCCTTAAACCTACCCCATACCGAAATCTAACTACTACCTTACTGTCACGATGTCACACACACGAGGGACGAGGAGACGCTGGAGAATGCTTTTAACAGGACTTTATTGGAACCAAGGGAGACAAACACAGGAAGACCTTCACCGGGAGACGTACAACAGCGGACAGAGAAGTAGGGACTGGGAACACTTTAAATACACACAGGAGGAGGGGATCACGAGACACACCTGGGAGCAATGACACATCATGGGGAACACCTGGGACAAATGAACTAAACTAATCAGGGGAGGAACAGGAAACTAATCAAATAAGGGCATGGGAAGGCACATGGGGAGCAGGACACACACAACACATGGAACAGAGTCTGACAACAACATCACAACACAAAGACTGACTACACCAAAACAATTTTTAAGACACAAAATGAGGAAAAATATAATGAAAAATAATACCTCAAAATTCCCAGTGCTCATCACAAATATATGCAGTGTACAACAAACACGCAAAATAAATCAAAATCACATTCTGTCTGCCTTCTATTATTATTTTCCATTGGAGGAGAGTATTTCAATATATTTTCAATATTCAGCGACTGCTGGATTTTTATATATATATATTTTTTGCTTAATGTCATTCAGAATTCACAGCTTCAAGATCTCCAAAGTCAAATCATATGATCATTGCACACTCATAAGTTTTCTCATTATTTTGCCATTAGCTCTCATGCTACACAACTCAAACTCCCAAGAAATCAACTTCCCTGTGGAGTCGAACTCAAATCAAACAGCTACTCAAGATCGTTGATCACTTGGAAATGACGAGCAGGTGAAGGTGGATGTTGAAAATCTAAAAAAAGCTAATCACTCGAGTCGTTATGCAGTCTGGGAAAGCCTGAGCATTCCGGTACATTATATTTGTACGGTTTACAGGGTTTACATGGGCGTTTATAGTCTCATGATTGCTCAGGCAACGAGAGGTCAAAGGTCAACCTACACGCAAGCTGGGGAACAATAGGCCAGTTCTGTGGTGTGTTCAGTGGGAACCGAGAGCGCGGCTCTGCACGTACCCTTTCATTACTCTAATCGGTCCAACAGCACAATAGTAAATACAGGGTGGGGACATCATAACTACTCATCTCAGGCCGCCACATATCCATGCTGAACCAGAACGTCCTCGTTGCCTCGGGCAGAAGCTGCATTTTCCCACCACGTCTGCCTGGCAATGCACAGAGAGATGTCACA